GAGAAGTGAGAAGGAGAAGGCCTTCTCAGAAGGCGGCGGGGCTTCTCAGAAGCCCTCGCGTCTTCTGGGAAGCGTTCTTTGTCTTCGGGGGAGGCTCAGAAGACTTCTCAGAAGGCCGGGGGACTTCCGAGCCTTCTAACAAGGCCTTCTCCTTCTCACTTCTCCCCCTGGCTCGCCGCCGACTTCTGGAGGGCGAAGGGCCAACGCACAATGAAGCCACGACGAGGATAAAATCGGGTGAGGATAAGTCGAGAGTCTCTGAGATGCGGAGGCTCTGGAAGATTTCTCGGGTGCCGCGACCTTCTCATTCCAGAACGCTCTGAGAGCTTTCCAGAACGCTGTGGAACGGATCTACAGTCAACCGGCATTACAAGGACGCACGATAGGAGGGATGAGAGAGCCTTGGAAGGCCAGGTCGACACTTTGCGAGCGAAGCGCGGCCAGCGGAAGCGGCCAGGAATGGGCCGACGGGGAAGAAAGCAAGGGTAACCTTGCACAGTTGGTCATCCTTACTATGCGGGTGGACTGTAGTAAGCATGCGCGATGATGATGCAAGGGCCTTGGCCGCCCGTGCCGAAGCTTGTCGCATGTCAAGCAGGGCCGGCCATCCAGAGGGATCAAGGATGGGCCGAAGATGCATGGATGCAAGGGTGCTCTTGTTGAGTCGACCATCCTTGCTATCAGCTTTGACTTGTAGACAGCCCCCGTGGAGGTAACTGGTCCAGGCTGGCCTCAGCAGACCCCCAGGGCAGTCCAGGTTGTTTCTAGCACCCCAGCCCAGGGGCAAGTCGGGCGAGTGCCTCTACAGGAGGAATACTCAAAAATAGTCCAGAAATAGTCTGGGGCCGATGCTTCGACTATTCCTTTGCATTATTCTGCTATCTTTGACTTTCCTTCCAAAATCCGCCTGTAGGGGACATGCCCGACCGAACCCAGAGGGCACGGAGCGCACCAGAGGGCACCGCCGAAGGCTCAGCCGCCCCCCAGCCAAGCATCCGAGCGCTGCTTCTGCGCAGTCCCAGACATTGCCTCCTCCTGCTCCTCCTCCTCGTCCTTCTCCCCCTCCTCCTCCGCCTCCTCCTCCTCCTTCTCCTCCTCCCCCTCCTCCTCCTCCTCCTCCTCCTCCTCCTCCTCCTCCTCCTCCTCCTCCTCTGCCTACTCCAACTCCTCCTTGGACCTGGACTTGAGCTTGGACCACGGCTCGAAGCCTGTCAAGACTAGCCGGCAGTCAGACGAAGCGTACACACCAAGCCTGCCCACGAACTGTCGCACAGACGTCGAGCTTTCTGCCAGCGGGGCAGCCTCAGACTGGAACGAATCTACCCAGGAGCTGTGGAAAGTCTTCCTCCCTCTCTTCCTCCAGCCTCCAGCCTCAGAATGCTCCCCAAGACCTCCGGAGGGCCTCCGAGGGCCCTCTCTGAGGAACAAAAACGGCACAAACAGAAAGTGTTGACGGTTCACGCGGATCTCTGGGATCTGAGCTGAACCCCCCTCCCTGGCGCGCGGAGCGGCGGCGCTGGAGGCGCCGCCAGGGCGCTCCAACGCAGAGCCAAGAAATCCGCGCGGAGCGCCGAAAGTTCTGTTTACGCAGTTTTCCCTCCTGGCATCGGAGGGGGGCTCTCCGAGGGCCCCCGAGGGCCCCCAAGGGTCCCCAAGGGCCCCCGAGGGCCTCCGAGGGCCCCCGAAGGCCTCCGAGGTCCCTCTGGGCGCCTCCGAGGGCCCTCTCCGAGGGCCTCGGAGGGCTCACGGGGCGGAGCGGTGGCGGCGAGGGCGCGCCGGGTCGCACTCGTCCTCCGCCTCGTCGCCCGCCAGCATGGGCGGCGCGTCCGCCTTGACGGTCTGCCTGTCGTCGCCGCTGCCGTCGTCGGCGTCGTTGCGGTCGTGGTCGCCGTCGTGGTCGTCGCCGTGGTCGTGTTGGTCGTTGTCGCCGTGCTCGCGTGCGCGCGGTCGTCTGAGGGCCAACGACAGGGGGAGACTGGCATAGGGGGCGAAACATCGAACTGAAATCGGCGATACATCGCCGATAGATTGGCGAGAGGCCCCCGATAGTGCATCCGCACGCTCCTGGGCGGCTTGGGGCTATCGGGCCCCTCATCGGCGATCAATGGGCGATTGAGGGTCGATGCATCCCCCCCCATATGCGTACCCCCCCCCTATCGCTGCCCCTGATCGTCGTCGCCCTGCCTAGGGAAACCTAAAGGTACCGATGCCGCTACTCCCCGGGCCTGTCCCGGGGTGCCTCCCGACCAGAAAATTCCTGGCGGATCCAGCGGTGGCGACGAGGGCCTCCCAGGAGGCCCCAAAAGGAGGAAGCGAGGAAAGGGCAGCAGTATGAATAATTACAATGAAGGCCAGTCCACAAGAAACCTTCCACAAGAAACCCAACCCTGAGACCTCAGGACGTCCATTGATTTTCGGTGTGGGAACGTCACGCTTTCCATAGCAAAACCGTCAAACCCCAAGAAACTAAGGACACCCTGGAGGCAAGCAGGGTGTTTCC